CCCTGGTAATGCTGCTGCTGCTGATGCATGTACATTGAAAACAGCTGGTGTTCAGCTCAGTGATGTGTGTGTGTGTGTGTGTGGTGTGCATGTACACACGTGTGTGACTATATACACACATGCATGCTGAGGATTCAGCCTCAGGGCCTCCAGCACTTTACTATTAAGCCACATTACCTATCCCTGCCACATCCCTAGCCAATATTCAGTGTATTTTTGGCTTTTGTTTGTTTGCAGAACTAGTGACTAAACTCAGATAAGTCCTCCATCACTAAGGAATGTTCCAGTTCTCCTCTAGTCTTTTGGTTTTAGTTTGTTTTTCAGACAGGTCACTTACTAACTTTGGGCATGCAGGTATACACCCACCACATCTAGCTTGTTTTTGAAGCAGGGTCTCACTGACTTTTGCCTAGGCAGGTCTGAACTAATTCTTTCTGTCTCCGCCTTCCAAGTAAGTGGGATTGTGGGTGTGTGTCACCATGTTTGGCTCTCAATGTTTCTTATTTAAAAATTTTTCATGATAGGGCTGGGAAGGTGGCTCAGTGGTAGAGCGCTTGCCTTGCATGCCTGAGGCCCTGGGTTTGATTCCTCAGCACCACATAAGCAGAAAAAAAAAACCGGAAGTGGCGCTGTGGCTCAAGTGGTAGAGCGCTCGCCTTGAGCTGAAGAGCTGAGGGACAGCGCCCAGACCCTGAGTTCAGGCCCACGACTGGACCCAAAAAAAAATTTTTTTTCATGACAATTTTATATACATTTCTTGAATATCTTTTGCATTTTTTTTTAGTCGATCGTGGGGCCTGAACTCTCGGCCTGGGCGCTATCCTTGTGCTCTTCAGCTCAAGGCAAGTGCTTTACCACTTGAGCCACAGCACCACTTCTGTTTTTCTAATGGTTTATTGGAGATAAGAATCTCATGGAAAAAGATCTTTACTAGCCATACAACCGACAAGGGTCTCATATCTAAAATATACTTGGAACTCAAAAAATTAAACCCCCCCAACAACAAATCCTCAAAGAAACAACTGCCCAATAAATAAGTGGGCGAAAGACTTAAAGAGAAACTTCTCTGAAGAAGAAAGA